TTGAAAACAATATGGTAATATAATTCTTAATTTACATATATTATGTCTCTTTGAATAACTAATTTCTTTTTAGTGGTGATATCGATTGTATGTTCGAGTTACTGTTCACGTAGTCCAGAGTACTGATTTGCGAACACGTTTGATGTAAAGTATTCGAAACGTCGGGAACCAAAACCAAAGTAAAACTGCAAAAAATATTGAGAAAATAGGTTCATTCAAAACTAGCGACTCACCCTCGCTCCGCTTGGGTTTGTCCCTAGTTGCTTTTTAAAGTTAATTATAGATTTCTCAGAGACGAGATATTTTCCTGCAGTAAAAAGTATCCTACTTTATGTTAACTCGCATAACCAGATATCATCATACAAAATTTCATCAAAATCCATGCAGTGGTTTTTTCAGTCATGCGGTCACAGACAGTCAAAAGAAAATTCAAAAAAATATATATTCGATCTCTGTATCGATAATAATGACTATTTCAATAAGATTTTTCAAAAAAAATATTTAACGTACAGATTCGACTCAGAATTTTATTATATTATGTTTAGATGTGTATAGTGTATACTGACCAATCTCCTTCGTGTCTTTTGCATTCTACGTGACATTAGCGAAGTAATCTGTGCCCAAATGACTAAAACTATTAACAAGAGAATTAAATAGAATTGAAAAAAATAGTGTTGTCTTCAATTTCGTGTTTTAAATATCATTAAATTGCCATTGATGTTATGGCAATGATCAATGAGATCATTGCCATAACATTAATATAATACTAACTATCAATATTATAAATAAAATGATACTGGCAATATATCATTATAACAAATAATGCATTTGAGAGCTATAATATCGAAAATAAGCAAATTTTGATTTAGAAATACATTTGTGGTGTAAAATTTAAAGCAAGTAAACCCCAATCGAAATATATGGTCAAACAATAAGCCTCGGATACCGAGGCGTAGTTTCATTCACCCGCTGTGCCAATAGCTGTCGCCGGATTCCACACGATTTGCCAAATGTTGAATTTAGATCTAAAAGCTAGAAAGATTACTATCGAATTTATTTACGATTTTCGTTTTAGTTTGCTCTATAGAACATTATTATTATAGTTACAATCTATACTAATATTATAAATGTAAAAGTTTGTGAGCACTTATGGATGTTTGCTACTCTTTCACGCCAGAACGGTTGAACGGATATGAATGAAAGGCACAGAGATAGATTTTAGTCTGGAATAATACCCGTTTACTATCCCGTAAAAATGTACGGTTCCCGTGGGAGAGATTTGATTTTGTTTTTCTCTAACTTAACTCTATAAATTAAAAAAGTGTACATAATACCTATATAATTGTTAATGTTAATGTTAAATATTTTTTTAGTATAAAAATGTGAACGCATGAACTATTTCAAACGATAAACGAAAATATGAGCCAAAAAGCAAAAAAAGTGTAAAAGAAGTAAAATTGTTGATATATTACTTCTGTTTTACCGTTTTTATATTTAACTAGTAAAACCCGTCGCTAAAAATTACAAAAAAGAACTAAAAAGGTAAGTTTCATACAAACTTTAATCCCCTATTTTCAAACAGACATTGAATATTAAAATTCTAGATAGTATTAATATAGAGATAAATTTAGTATTTATGACCTGTTAATTTAATCAAATAAATTTATTTTTCATAATTTTTATAATTGACTAAACAAATAATAAATAAATATATATACTGGGATATTAACACAGCACCATCTAGTTCCATATAAGCTACGAGGCTTGTTTTATGGATACCAGATAGTTGATACACTACACATATTATATAACTTTAAATACAAACATATTATAAATATATAACATTATTTACTAAAAATATATATTAAAATATATAATTACGTGTAAGATACAATAAACGAAGCAATAAAAAGGAAGAAAACGCACTATCATAAAACAAAACAAAGATTTAGCTACAAAACAAAACGATATACGAAATAATGGCGGAAGTGCTCTCTCCCGCCAAATGGGAGATTTCACATCCGGCGCCGGAAGTTTACTTAGCCGCCGGCGACCCACCTTGCTAAGGTGCATCGAATTTCAATTTATAATACAATCTCGTTGGAAATAACACAATGTATTTAAAAGTTTGTTATTTTAAAAGTATTGTCTTTTTAAAGAAATTCATTTGTTTTGTTAAGAACTAATTGTAAATTTTGCCCTGTAGTTTTGATGTATATTACTCTCAACCTGAATTTATGCAAACATCCATACTAAGATTATAAAGACGATGATTGTTTGTTTGATTGTTTGTTTATTTGTTTGTTTGAACGCACTAATCTCAGGAACTACTAATCCATAAAATAAAATTTCTTTTGTATTAGATATCCCGTTTATTCCGGAAAAGTGTACGGTTTCCGTGGGATAGACTTGTTTTTTTCTAGGGACGAACCCAAAGCGAAGCGAGAGTGAGTCGAAATATAAAAATGGGGTAGCTATTATCATAAGAATCATAGACAAACAATTTAATTAATAAATACTAAGTATATTTTTAGTGATTTAAACTCTATGGTATTCTAATGCAAAATATTACGTACATATACTTATTTACCAATTAATCATCATATTATTGTTTCGTATAGGGTTCCAATCAATAGTAGAGCCACAATTACTTTATCTGTATTATATAAATATGCAATGAAGCTCTCTCATAGAGTTGATGTATTTTTTAATATTAAAAAGAAAGCAAGTTTATCCAACATTTTAATTAGTTTGTATAAGACAAATAATTCCAACGTTGGGAAACGCATTTACGCACGAGGTGTGGGACTCACCGGCGTAATAAAGCCAGTACTACCCACTAAAACCCAACAAAACCTTCCCCCGTCTTAAAGGGGCGTCACAGGATCGCTTACGCATTCAACTACGACGCCCCGACGGCAGGTCTGCCGAAGCAGACCACAACAACCATGGGGTTGCTCCAAGGTCCACTTTGCTATCAGAGAAGTACCAGGAGCAACCCGCATGGTACACCGCCCCCCGAAGAGGGCCACCTTCCACCGCCCACCGAAGTGGGCCACCTCCCTGTGCGTTTCTTGGCTTCGGGCCCGGTTGGATTGCCGGGCATTACTGAGCCCCCCCACCACGACAAGGTGAACGCACGTTGGGGGGGAAGACAAATAAATCCTAATAAAAAAGATAAACTGCTATTTAAGTTTGTATTACGGAAAGTATTATATAAATAACGACTCTATTCTTCCCAAAACTTGACATCTTGTAACTGCCTTACGTAGTATGATCGCGTGCGTCAAACTGTTACAGCTAAGTGGACCACTCACAAATCACAACTAAGTTTTGACCTTTGATACAATTTTATGAATCATGGTCGTTATGGGGTAGATGATTCTTTGTAATTCAAAATAATCTTACAAAATTACTTTATTTTGTATTTATTGATATAAAATTAAACAACTATAGCCTAGACACTAAATATATTATTGTTTAGATATTTTCCCATAGATAGTATAAATAGAAGTTATTCTTTGAAAAACTAAAGATTCATGCTTTTGACAAATTGAAATATATGGGATTCGTCAAAATTATCCATCATCAGATCAGCTTCAAAATAGCAAATTATAGTATTGTCATCCTAGCTACATCCTACTAATATTATAAATGCGAAAGTTTGTGAGGGTGTATAGATGTTTCAATGTATAGATGTATGGATATTTGTTACTCTTTCACGCAATAACTACTAAATAAATTTTAATGAAACTTTACAATAATATAGCTCATACATCAGAGTAACACATAGGCTACTTTTTATCCCAGAAAAATGTACGGTTCCTGTGGGATAGATTTGTTTTTTTATTTGAGGCGAACCCGAGCGAGCGACGGTGAGCCGCTAGTATACAATATATGTATTTTTTGAACACACCTGTTCTTCGAACGTCACTATTAGCACTAGGCGACAATGAAACTGAAGGTTTCTAGTCGAAATTAAAAACACTTAAATTTTGAATTAACAAATATGGAAAATAATCTACCTTCTAAACACCTTAAAAAACCAAAAGATAGTGTTTTAGTCATTATCTACTACTACTAGCGCCATCTATTATCATAGAACAAAAAACGTTCAAATAAAATATTATGTACATTTTAAATAAAGAAAGCGTTTTAACACTCGTACATACAAAGTATCATTTCGATACTATAATAATAATTAGAAGTAGGTTTTAAGAAGATTATTAGAAACAGACGCCTATTATCTTCCAGCCTTCAGATCTACGTCATGATGTAATGGAAGATGCTTATAATAAAACATACTAGCCCAAATTCGGCTGTCCTAGCGTCTGCCACCAGGGAGTTCCAGTTCTTAGATATCGGCTTCATCATCAGATTAGCTCGAGAGCATCATAATATTTCATCATCACCAAAATTACATAATATATTTTCTAATAATCAATTGGATACATATTACATAAGAAGTGGTTGAAAAAAGCTTTGCAAAATCAATAAAAAGCTTGTGATGAGAAACTTCCATTTAAACTTCCGTAAAATTTTCACTTAAACCCTTTAGGGGATGAATTTCCAAATGCTTTTTCTAATTCAATACCTACCTTCGTTTTATAAAGATCTAATGAAAAATGCATGCTTCTAAACCTATTTTTTTGTTTATTATTCAGTCAGTGCTAGAGTTGCAAATTAGAAATAAAAAAGTCTAACAATTGTCTAAGATTCGTACATACATATTATGTATGTATTTCTTACGCATGCTAGTTCCTGACTATCGAATGAATCTCCTCATATCAATATTGAAACAAGTACCTATAACAGAAATATACTTATTTATACTAATATTATAAAGATGTAGGGTTTATTTATTTGAACGCGCTAATCTCAGGAACTACTAATCCAATTTTAAAAACTTTTTTTACACACTTTTTTTACAGTAAGCATTTTTTTAAATTAATCTGAGATCAAATTAGGAACCCCATAAATTTTATCTTTGGATTAATCACCATTTTCACTCTCGTTGTCGTTGTCACTTGAGCTGGACGGTATATTTTCTAGTGAACCCACAAAAGGAGGATCGTCTAGATCTTCTTCGAATAGCAAATAATCTTCTAAATTTGATTTTTCCAACAAGTTTTCAATGTCTTCCGATTGCAACTCTTAAAAAATAAAGTATGCCTTATAGACCAATGTTCTTCCATAAGAACATTACAACGCTCGCTGTTCTCACACAAGTACATATTGCTCAAGAGTGAAAAATAAACACTTTTTCAAAAGGAATTTTTCAAGAATATTAAGACACATGCAATTTAGTATTCTAAATTACATACTTACTTCCTTTAAAACTTATTAGTTACTTGATTACATGCATAATTAGAGATTAAAACTTACCTTTACGTCTGCGCTCCATGTTCGCCATTTTGATTACTAATGACAAGTTTTTTCTGATTGGATTAGCTTAGTGTCGTATGATTATGGTTACTTACATGTCTACCAATCAAAGAACATTATAAAAAATAAAACCATGCGCGGCAAAATTAAAAAATATTAAACAGTAACTATTATGTTCTTGTGTAAGTCCACTGGGCCGTCAAGAACATGTTATATCATATTTATCTGGGCGGTAATCAGGTTCGATAATATGTCCTAGTGCGAGGTCATTGGGCCTCACGAGGATATATCATATAATGTATAGTCTATTCCATACTAACCGTTAAAATGTACCTAGAGACAAAACCGAGCATAAGCGAGGTTGAGTCGCTAGTACATACAATATATAATATATCAATGTACAACTTACTTATACATCCAACAATTTTAAAAGACAATAAGAGACAAGAGGATGGCTCACTTTACGCTCAAAGAATCGGCATTATCATTCAGTGGGGGAATGCAGCTAGAAATGCCACAATTCCACGCGGACATGACGTGTACAGTAATAATTAAGTGTACATTTGTTTTGTATATATAATTAAATATATTTGTAATTTAAATGTAATAAATGAATGAATGAAATAATCAAAAATAAATGATCCTTTTTGTACAAATAATTATTTATATAGATTAAAGTACAAGTGATGTAATCACACGCGAGTCGGATTTATATTTCGCACGAAGTGAATATTTACATTAATCATACATATGTATAATGTTAGTTCCAGTCTGGTTGAAGCAAAGCGCTCGTTTAATACGTTTAGTGCGAAGTATTTTAGTACTAATGGAAAGAAGAAGACGAAATGAAGATTCAGAAACTAGATCCTCTTGTTGTACAGCAAATTAATATAAATCAAGAAATTCTTATAAAATCAAAATGAGAGTTTTTTTACAGAATACAACCATTTGTATATATTTTATACGAATATACAAATTTTAACAATTTCATGAGAAAGCTCAATTGATATCGATATTATAGTTGGTATAAATTAATAAAATAATACAAAATATATATTATTTTATTAATTTATACCAAACTATATTTTCTAACTTTTGAATCGCTCAATGTCTGTCTAGTCCCTGCAGTTAGTCTTTATTTTTTCCAGTTTTTTTTTCATATTACACATATTATGCTATATAATTTTCTGCTAGAGAGCTGCTATAATCTTTTGCTAGAAAAAATTTCGCTTAAACCGATGAACCTATATTTCTTTAACTTTCTTTTGCCATTATAAAATTTGGCTATATAGAATACGTTATAAAAACATTTACACCAAATTTTATACTGTAAATTGACATCTTCGATATATAAGAAAAATCAATTAGAAAACCCTCTTCTAAAACTTAATGATAAGTAACTTTAATTGTAATAGTCACAAAGCTTGTTACCTAAATACATAACCCTTAAATAATGACGCGTATAAAATATATCGCCGGAATTGAATCCTTCAACAAATCGTGTGTAAAAGCGACAGTTTTTGAGATAAGCCTTGAGTCCCAATTTTCTTTACTAAAGCTATATGGTTTGTTATATTGAATAATATTGCTTTTTAACATTATATAGAGAATATAGCCTGAATTTAAATATGTATTTTTTATGTATCGATCGGAGTTTGTAGATTCGAGGACATAACTTGAGTTTTATTAGAAGGACACAAATAAAAACAGTAAGCCACAAGCAATTAATAGCTTTGACGAAATTAATAAATGCTAGTGACTTACCATCGCTCGAATACATCTCTGTGATTTTTCTATTTAAATCTATACTAATATTATAAATGTGAAAGTTTAGATGTTTGGATGGATGTTTGTTACTCAATCACGCCAGAGCGGCTGAACAAATCTGGATAAAAGGCATAGAGATAGATTTGTCTATATAATATAATAGTCCGGAATAGTACATAGACTACTTTTTATCCCGGAAAAATGTACTATTCCCGTGGGATAGACTTGTCTTTGTTTGTTTAGAGGCGAACCTGAGCGAAGCGAGGAGAAGCTGCTAATATTATATACAGGTCATACTAACTGTGTGGGTGTACTAAATTCATCTTAACCCGACCAGCTGTTTAGCGTGAGAAGTAACAAAGATGCACACAAACAAACTTTCATATTTATATTAGTAGCATAATTTTGATTTTAAATGTAAGTTACTTTGAGAATCATTACATTTTCACGTAGTGCCACTACTATAGTTAGGTCTTTTCATGCTCATAGAACCGTGGAATTACGTACCAACACCTCCGGACTTGCAAGTTTAACAGTTTATAAGGAAACTAAAAGTACTTTTTCCTTCAGTATTAAAAGGTTTTTTTTTATTTCTGGGAAGTAATTATCTTTCAAAGTTGTGAGAATCAGCAGTGAAGTTGAGCTGCGTACACCAAAATACGATTCTGAATAAAATTACACGTAGCTATTAAATTTAATAAAAAAAATGAATTATCATTTTTAAAATACCCTAATAAGGTATGATTTGAAATATAGACTTAGAAAACTGTTTTTTTTTTGGTTTTTTTTTCATTATGAATTTGCCTTCATTAATTAATTTAATGAATAAAGAAGAAAAAATATTATTTAGTAGTATATTCAGGAATTATTGCGCTCAAACAAACAATTTCTTCAGTTTAATAATATATTATTTTCTTGAAGCCAAAAACTTTTTATCTTGCTATATAAAAATCTTATGTACTTTGATACTTAAATCTGTAAAAATAAATATGTTCACAAGAAGACGTTGCCTTTAAGCCTCCGCCAGTTTGCAAGGAAGCAAATGATCATTTGAACAACTTTTTTCATTATCTCGGCCAACTCAAATACTTTTATAGCATCCTCCCGTTTCGTTTTAGTTGTTGCTTGTTCTTGTAAAATTTTACTGAAATACATATACTTAACTGTAAAGATATCATTTATGATTTTTCACTATACTTTTTATTAGTGTTAGCTCTGATGCGAATTCTCATTTGTGTATCTTTTTTTAAATTTCCCATTAAATTAATATTTCCTTTTACTATCATAGATGCAAAAGTTCGAATGTGTGTATGTGTGTTTGTTACACCTTCATTGTGAAACGGCTAAGCAGATTTGGATGAATTTTCGTACACAGATAGACTATTAAGATAAGATAGACACATGGCTATTTAAAAGGTATTAATATTATATTATAAATACTAAAGGCATTTAGACATGCGTCCGACCAAATCTCGGTTAAGTCGCTAGTATTTGGTATATATTATTATATATCCCTCCGTCCGACGAGCCATTCGTCGAGCCGTCCGACGAGCCGTCTGTCGAGCCGTCCGCCAACGCCAAGCCGCTCGTCGAGTCGCTCGTTCTCGCCCTCGCTTTGTTCGTCGCTATGTATTTATATAATATTGTTTAATGTTTATACAAAAATTTAAAATACTAAAATCGTGAATTAAAAATAGGAGATGGAGGTAGGAGGGTGAAAAATACTTTACAAGCTATTCTCATACCTACCAAAATATACAAAAAACAATCATCAAAATTCGTCAAGCCGTTTCGGAGTAGTATGACCACAAACACCGTGATACGATATATTTATTATTTTTATATAAGATACTAGCAGAACCCGCGGCTTCGCTCGCGGTAAATTCGGTAGTAAGGTAGTTTCATACAAATTTTCATCCCCAATTCTACCCCCTTATAGGATTAATTTCGAAAATGCTAAAACACGTATCTATTTAATTTTATTAATTATTAAAAAGCATGAATACCAAGTTTCAAGTAATTCTGATCATACATATTTTTTGGATTGTATTATAACGTGTTTTCCCGTGGGAATTAGATAATCTCCCGCAGTAAAAAATAGCCTGTGTCACTCTCCAGCCCTCCAACTAACTCCACATAAAAAAATCACGCCAATCTGTCAATCCGTTTCGACGTGAAAGAAAGACAAACAAACAAACACACTCTCACATTTATAATATTAGTATGGATATAATCTATCACAGGTCAAAAATAATTCATATTCTAACATAATATAACTCACGTAACCTCTTTATTAAAAAGTCCTCTACTGTAAAGCTACGAGTGATTTAATTATAACTGGCATCTAGCGATAATTATTTAAATATAATTTGCTTTGCTCAAGCGAAGGAAGTCATTTATTTACATTATGATAAAATACGAATTTAACCACTTATAATAACTGTTTTATGATTAAGATAATAATAACAAGATTATTTTTGCGGCTGATTATTTTTTAGCATTTTTTACTGTATATATAAATAAGAGGTTAAATTTTGACATATTATGTTAGTGTTATGGGATGGATATTCGTGGCAAAGCAACTACAAAATGGATATATTGATTTTATTACGATTCAATGGATGGCTAATTTAATTAAATAAACAAAATCTTTATTGGAACAAACTAAAAAGTTATATTATAGATTGTACGATAGACTACATTAGTTAAAAACTGTGTTGTAGCCAATAACGTCCACCTCCAAGATTTTTTTATATTAATTTAATACTTAAATTGAAATGATTCTTAGATGAATTTCGTTTTAATAAGGCCTTATGCTTTTTGTTTGTTTGTTTGTTTGAAGCGCTAACCTCAGGAACTACTAATTCGATTTGAAAAAAATTTTTGCATTAGAAAGCCCGTTTATTGAGGAAGACTGAGCAAAGTGAGGGTGAGTCGCTATTTAAAGCCAAAAGGTTTTTTTGTAGATTGAACGCGGGAAAAGCCGTGGATTCTGCTAGTAGACCAATAATACACATATTATTTGATTTAATAATAAAAAGAACTTCTATATACGATATACATATATTAAAAAACTTAAGATAGCGCAAAGTGGAAGGAGAAGAGAGTGGCCTTTGCCCAGCAGTGGGACACTAACGGCTGAAAACAAAACTTCAGCTGAACTACTTCTATGCTGAAAGTCATGTCCGTTGATCCGTTGATTTATCGCCAGTTTAAAGACTGAAAAACTACAAAAGGTATTAAAAATAATATTTATTATTT